CATTAGAAAAGTATTGATGTCAATTCAAAGATAATTTTAATAACTTTTTACGACGTATTTACTATAACCATTTTTTAACCAAATTTTTGGTAAACGCTATTTAAAAAAAAATAATATATAATTTCGATTTTTGCCACTAATTTCGTTAAATTTTGCCCTATAACAAACCTTCTGTATAAGGTAATAACTTGGACTTTCTAAATAATATAAATTTCTGTAGCACTAATTATGCAATTTTCTTCAAAAAAGGTAATTTAATGAAAAAATTAAATTTTTTTGTTTTTTAGTATTTTTGACTTAAATATATAAAAAATCAGGATAAGATAAACTAATCATCTTTATTTTGACATCATTAGTTGTTTAATAAGTTATGTAGTTCATAAGATATTGATATTTACAAAATATCGAAAAATTTAACCTAACCTCCTATACCTTCTCAATTCTTTACTTGCGCTAAATAATTTTGGTCAGGTTGAAATCAGCATGAAGAGTTCTATCCAATTACATTTTTGGTTTGTCTATAGCTAAATGGTCGGTATTCTACACTTTTTGTAAAAATTTAACATCACATTTGACGTCAGTAATGAAAACGGAATGTCAATCATCTGACACCGAATTTTTACGACGTCTTTGACATGCACTGCGGTATCGACATTTGGTCAGTTTTTAAAATGTAAGGAAAACGCATTTGACACCAAATGAACAGCTGTCAGATGAAGGCAGTTTTTGATGTCAGTGATTTTGACCTAATGAAAACCAGATCTGAGTAAAAACTAAGGGCCGGTTGCTCAAAGCCTGGTTGACACTAATCACTGGTTAACATCGTTATCGACGTTTTCGACTCCATATATATAACACGGTGTCGGTAACGTCGATAACGATGTATAATCGGGGATTAGTGTCAACCAGGCTTTGAGCAACCGGCCCTAAGTGCATAAACTCTATTTCACGTTAATTGAAATCATGAAATGGTGTTCATTCATTCAGTTTCTACTCAAACGCATGAAATGATTTCATGAATTGGCCTACGCATAATGGTAGTAAATGACAGAAGGAATTACAACAAACACATCCTTTTGACATAATGCAAGCCGAAAACGTTGGTTCAAATCAATCCGCAATCAAGTTGGACGTTTTGCCCACAAACATTGCAATTTTTCGAGCAGTCTCATTGTAAAATCTCATTTTTACAATTTCATAGTTTCGCCTTACCTTTATAAGGCCAAGTTATCCATTTTCGGTTATTTAGTGTACACAATAAACGCGAATTAAATGAGTTTGTACAACATGGCTATTAATGTAGCGATAAGTTGTACAACTTGCCAGAAAATCCAAATTTTTTGAACTTTCATACAATCAAGACATAAATTCATTCAACAGGCCCACAAACGGTGCAATCTAGAGCAAAACAACACCAAGTTTAACCAGCGGTCGCTACGTTTATGGCTTCCTTTACCGCAGAACTCCACAGGCAAACACCGATGGCCTACCAACTGTCATTTTGACGAGCAATGTGATTGCAAGTTTTTGTGTGTGGGCACTTTGATGTCTTGAAATAAGCATTTGCCGCATGACGCCACCAGACAACATTCTCTCAATTTCGGTGTTTAAAAACATTTAAATCTTTAAAAAACTTGCTGAATAATTTCCTAAAACGTAATCATAAATAATCCAATAAGGAACAGACTTTTATTTTGATTTAATATAAAAATTTCATCGATGTTACCACCAGCACGCTTTCTTTCAAATGAAAATATGGCTGTCAAACAATCGAATTGCCTGCAATAGATGTCAAGCAATAAGCGCTGACATATATTGCAGCACATGAGAAATAGGCGGTCTCCATTGGAAATATATTTTGTGACATAGTTATCACGACATCAGTGTTTTCCTGTGGAGACAGGGCCTTAAGAAACATCGTGCGAAAATTTCAACTGCTCCTGTAACACTACCTTATATCGCACGTTTAACCCTTCGTCTGACACATGAGTCCAGTCAGGCCTTTTCCATTTTCAAATTACAAAAAAGGGTTCTTTAAATATAGCTAGAGGCTTGAAATTTCTTAAAGATTAGTGAATTACCAATCTTGAAAAAATCGTGTTGGTATCATATATATAAAGCTAGATATATAGAGATGTTGATTAATACATCACATTCGTAACACATAGGTCTGGCTGGACCCACATATATTCCTATGTAATTTTTACCTAAAATGAAGGAATGACAGTTTTTCAAAGTTTTCTTTTGAATTTTTGAATTATCATGGCAAGAGATGATTTGCGTTTTTAGCCGACTTCCAAAAAAGGAGGAGGTTATCGGTTGGTCGGAATATTTATTTTTATTTTTTTTTTTTTTTTTGTATGTGTGTTACCGTATAACTTTGGACCACGTCAACCGATAATTATTTTTGCATCGGAAAGGTAGTACCTCAGAGGTGGTCCCATACTAATCTGGTTAATATCCGCACCGTTCGTCCGGGGTGTCAAATTAAAGCGCTAGGCCTGTAGATGTGCAAACTGGTTTTATTTTTTCGAAAGGAGTTGCCACCTGTTAAATAATTATACTCAAGTTATTTACTAATCAATGCCCTCATATCCGCACAGTCCGTTCGATTTTCAAAATTGAGGTACCAAATTAAAGGGCTTAGGGTGTGGATGTTCAAAAAGGTTTTACTTTTTCGAAAAAAGTTGCCACCTGTTAAGAAACTAAGCTCAAATTAATTAATATGTTAAATCAATTATTAAATATGGGTAGCAATCGAAATGGTTTTGAAATGGTTTTGAAAAGGCTTTATAACTTAACTTCGTATAGGAGGGTTGCCACATGTAAAAAATGTTATTCAATTTTAATTATGTAAAGGAATTTGGCAAGTGAATAAGGTATCGCTATATGGGTGTCATATAAAAGAGGTTTAAGAAGGTAGTAGTTTGATAATATTTTGAATAGGGTTGCCACCTATTTAAGAAGTCTAATTGAACTATTTTATACCCAAGTTATATGAAACATGAGCGATGGATGTCAAATGAAAGAGCTTCAAGAAATTATTGGGGGATTCACAACGGTGTCGTAAGTGTCGTATTGTTGTTTGTCGTATACTTTAAAAGCACCACTGAGAAATGGTTTAGATTAATCATTAGGAATATTTTTAGAGGTTATTGAATAGGGTTTCACCTGTTTAAAAAATTTAATTAAATGTTGACGTTTTGACGCCATGCGGGTTCACTAGTATATATGTATATATTTTTTTTTATGAGTTTTGAAGTCGGTTTTTTTTGCTAAAAATTACTTGTTACCTAAAATGATATTACTCGGAGCTCGCTTGTGCTATGCTAATCCTCTCTTGACCACAGCGCTCAATTTTTCGATGGCGTTGAGGTCTGGGATTTGAGCTGGCCACTTCATTACAAGAAAATTTTGCCCAAGCAGCCGGCGGTGTTGAATATTTTCAGAATCCTTTGGATCTCCGTCCTGCTGGCAAACAACTTCTTCCGCAGGGTTTGCACTTTTGTCTACAAAGCCCGGCAAATTTGTTTGGAGGATATGTTCATTATACCTTTATATTAACCCAAGACACCAAATGCCAGCAAGAAAAACATCCCATGCCATTAAGCTGCCACTTAAATTTTGTAATAGTCACGAGAATTCGAGCTTTTAAACTGAAAAGGGGTAATATGGTCCGATGGAACGAAAATTAATTGTTTCCAAAGCGATAAAAAGGCATATTTTTGGGAAAGACCTTATCAACATCTTCAAAAACACCATGCCAAGAAAAACATCTAACATGATGGCCAGCACAAATCCCAGACCTCAAAGCTATCGAAAAATTGAGCGCTGTGGTCAAGAGAGGATTAGCATAGCACAAGCGAGCTCCAGTAACATGGAAGAGCTTTGGAGGTCAGCAAAATTATAATGGGGTAATATTCCAAGCGAAATCATAGATAACTCAATAGAGAGCATTCCCAGACGTATGAAAATCGCTATTAAAAGCACAGGAGTCTCCACAATCCTCTTGAGAGGTTGCCTTGCGTTTTTGCTGTGAATCACTTGTTAATTTTTCTGAATACTAGGCTTTGTACCGTAGATAATAAGAACAAATTGCTGAAAATTTCAAAGCAATCCGCTTATTATTAAAAAAGTTATGTTACTGTAAGTAATAAAATGTCGAACATGCACCCGGTTTTGATCGCCAGTGTATTTAAATAATAAAATAAAAAAGAAAGCCCTTAAATTAAGTAAATATTTGAATAACATACAATAAATAAGTTTGACTGAACAAGTGTTGCACATAATTTCTATATAAATTCATACAATTTGCATGTGGGTCCAACCAGACTCATGCGTACCGAATGTGCCAATCGAAACATGTGTCTCACGGAGTGTTAATAATATAACGAAGTATTTCAAAATTTCAGTTGTGTGGGAAAACGTAATCAAAGTTTTATCATTTAATACAGTTGGTATACAAAAAGACGGATGGAAAGGCACATATCTTCGCCATATTTGGGAGGTTTGGTTATCTGTTGGACCGAACATATTCCACTTATCAAGCTTATTAATTGCATCATAAAATCTCCAAAAACGTAAATTTTGAGTTACACCACTATACTAGTAAACGTGCGATATGTATCTGTGGAAATAATTTCGCTTGCACTTGTATACAGAGTGATATAAAAGAGATGTTGAAATCAGCGAAATTTTCAGTTCTTGTTAACCATTGCAACATATCACGTTCAAAAAAATTCGTCGATTATTAGCATCGCAAAAGTATGGAACGTTGGCAAAATCGCGTAGCTGTTGTCACCGGCGCTAGTTCTGGTATCGGTGCGGCTTGTGTGAAATATCTCGCCAATAATGGAATGGTTGTAGTCGGTCTGGCACGACGCAAGGAGCGCATTGACGCACTGAAGGATCAAGTAGAACTATCAGCGCGCGATCGCGTCCATGCAATCAAGTGTGATTTGCAGGACGAGCAACAGATTATTGCCGCATTCAAAGAAATCGAGTCCAAGTATGGACCTGTTGCAGTGCTTGTGAATAATGCGGGCATTGTGCGTGGAATTAATCTGGTGGACGAGAACAACTCGCTGGATATACGTGCTGTCATAAACACCAATGTGTTGGGTGTGGCTGATTGTACCAGGGAGGCTTTCCGTTCCATGAAAGTCAGTGGGGATGGCCATGTCTTTATTATCAACAGCATTGCTGGTCATTCTGTGCCAAGGATACCAAATACTTCCCTTAATATTTACCCACCTTCAAAGCACGCTGTAACGGCAATGACTGAGGTCTATCGACAAGAATTTTTCAATCTAAATACAAAAGTTAAAGTGACGGTTGGTTGAAAATGAACTGCAAATATTGCAATTGTTGTTTATAAAGGAAATGTAAAAAAATGTATTTACAGAGCATAAGTCCTGGTGCGGTTGACACGGAAATAATATCCGAAGAAATGAAAGTGATTATTGAAAACGCGCCATTTTTAAAGGGCGAAGATGTTGCCGATGCTTTACTTTATTGCTTACAGACGCCACCTCATGTACAGGTTCGGTGTACTTGCTTATATTAATAATCACAACATAACACAAATACATTTACATATATTTCCAGATACATGAGCTCACAATTAAACCAGTAGGGGAAATGTTTTAAATTAATATGTCGATCTGGTGCGAAGGTGAATGACTGTTCAGAATATACATATTTATTTGCTAAATGATAAGGCGGATTTTGTGAGAAGTTTAACAATCTTCCAATTTGTAAAAATAAAGCCCGCGTTTTGTGATAAAGCATACAATTTTGTACTAATCAGTGGTATATTAATAAGAAAGTACTGAGGCATATTACAGAATTTATTTCAGTTTAATCGAAGGTATTTTTTTCATGCGCGCCCGATATCTCTTAGTTTCAGGCTATTTTTTTCCTCCATTTTTTCTCCAATAAAACAGCGAAAGTAAGGGACAGCACTAGGGTGCGCAGGCCATTTTAAATTGTAGGGACTTTCGGAAGGAAATATAGATTTTTGAAGTGAAACTTCTTAGGCGGCGGTATCGCAAAAATGGAGAGTGAAATTTTTAAAACTGAAAACGTTACATGAGTGAGAAGGAAGATATAGGTAGTATAGGGAGAGGGAAAAAAGAAATAAAGCGACGCATGACGGGTACGAATAAGTACATATGTATATATGTATGTTTGAATGCACGTATGTATGTATAGATACATATGTATATGTGTACATATATATGTATGTATGAACGAACTCATTACGCATTTCAGCTCTGCCGCTACCAACAATATTTGTATAAATGATGCAAGCGTGCTTCGCGTAACTACATCCATTCGTACATATGTACATATGTTTGTATGGATATATTTATGATTAGAGAACGACCGAACATCGATTTTTAGAGCCGAACCTAACCGAACCGAACTTCGGCCAATTTCGGCCGAAGCCGAACCGAACATTTTCAAGGTCTAAAACAAATAAATAATAAACGAATTTTTAAAAATTCGATCTTTTTATTATTGTTAATAAAAAATGGTACATTGGTTTAAATCACATCCATTTCAGTTCATAACATAAACATACTTATGTTTGTAAAGTTAACAAAAAGCTTTAATACTCGAAATTAAATAATTTTATGTTATAATGTAAAAATAGTAGGCTATCGGCATTTTCACCTTGCAACCGATTCCGTCTATCGGTATAAAGCTGACCTGCAGCACCGAATAATTGCTCACTAGACACACTCGATGGAGGAGCAGACAAATATTTTCAAGCAATTTTTTTCAACAGAAAATGTGGGCTTTGATACCAGTATTCAAAAATATTACAATTTCTTGGTAGCAGATGTTCATTAAGAAAAGTGTCCAATTCGTTATCTAATGAATAATTTCTCTCAGTATAATTACTGCAAATATTATTATCATGTAAATCCTAAAGGCTGCTTTGACTTATTTGTGAAGGACCTGAACAATCAGGTTGCGATATAATCGCAACATTTTCTATCACTACTGATATACTTTTGAAATAGTCATTTATAGCATTTTTACAAAGCTCGATATCACTTTGTGTAAAATATTTTCGTTTAAAACGAGGGTCTATCAATGTAGCAACAAGTAAATTTGTATTAGTTTTAATTGAATTAAAACGCTTCGTCAAAGAATTTTTTAGTCGAAATTTCAATTCGTTAATCTCAGTGATATCATTTTCATCTCGATCGAGCTTTGCCTGCAACATGGTGACGAGAGGGATCACTCACGAAATGCATGATTAATCAGAGGAGAGATCCAAAGTTGCTTCATAAAATGGTTTTAAAACACAAATTATACTTGATAGAATACTTCATTCACTACAAGATGGTACGTCGATTCCCCCGCGCTCTGCCTTATATAGATTAAGAGAACATTTTTGTTCAACTAACCGATTCACCATCAAGTAAACACTGTTCCATCTGGTTGGGACATTTTGCAATAAAGTATGTTGCGGCAAACCACATAAAGCTTGGAATTCACCTAAATTTCTAGTCGCCTGCTCACTTTTTTTAAAATGACCAACAAGTTTGCGACATTTTTTTAATATCTCGTCAATTCTTTTATCTTTAAAAATCGAATCATTGATAACTAATTGCAGAGTATGCGCAACGCAGCCGAAAGATGAAAGTTGACTCAAGCGGATGGCAGCCATGATATTTGGAGCATTGTCTGTAATAGCCATATGTATTTTGTTTTTAATGTCGAATTCTTCAATTATATCGTTCAAGTTTTTTGCAATGTTTTGAGCGGTATGGTCACAGTCAAGAACACTAGCTCCTAACACCACCTTGTATCGGCGACCGCCATCAAGCAAATGCGCAGTAAAACTGAGCACCGAACAAGTTTTTGCTGGGTTCGTCCAAATATCAGATGTGAAGCTGATCCACTTTGCTTTGAGTACCATATCCATCACTTTTTTTTTTACTTTCTCATATGTAGCAGGCATCAACGTGCATCGGAAAAATTTGTCGCTTTTTAACTTGTATCTTGTTGGAGTGTTGGGGTCAGAAATATGGAGCCTTTTGAACGCACTGCCTTCTACTAAGCTGTATGGCAACATATCCACAATTATCAGGTCCATTATGGTTCTATCAATTCTTTGTGTGGCTGGATGGCTGTCCGGTAAAACGTCAACCACTTTTTGCGAAAAAATTTCACGCAATGTCGGTTGTTTATTTGCTTTCTCTTCTAATTTTTGTTTTTATACCCGAGCGCACTTGTGCACAAGGGTATTATAACTTTGTTCACATAACGGTTGTTTGTAACAGGCAAAACGAATCGAGATAGATATAGACAAATGTATACATAAATGATCAGGATGAAAAGAGAAATCGATTAAGCGGTGACTGTCTGTCCGTCCGTCTGTCCGTCCGTCTGTGCACACGATAACTCGAGTAAAAATTAAGATATCTTAACGAAACTTGGTACGTGTACTTCTTTCGGGCGTAGGACGGATGGTATTGAAAATGGGCAAAATCGGACAATAACCACGCCTACCTCCCATATAACAGTAATTTTCAGAAATACGAAAACTACGATATTTTAGTAACTACTGAAGATTATTAACTCAAAATTGATATTTACAATAATTTTTAGACGAAAAATAAGAATGTTATAAATTTTTTAAAAATGGGCGTAGCCACGCCCACTTATGGTTACATGTGTATATCTTGGCAACCGCTGCACCAATTTCTTCCAAACTTGGCTCAATTATTGGCCTCGGTACAGGATACCAAATGGCTGAAAATTTTTAAAATCGGACTATAACCACGCCCATATCTCATATAACGGTAATTTGGAGAAATACGAAATCTTCGATAAATCAGTAAATCAATTTATTCAAAATTGACGCTTGCAACAATTCCTTACCAGGAAATACGTCTATAATAAAATTTTGAAAAATGGGCGCGGCACCGCCCACTTATGATCACATATATGTATCTCGGTGACCGTTCTACCAATTTGTACCAAACTCGGTATTTTTATTGTGCTTGCTACATAAAAGCAAAACGATGAAAATTATTGAAATTGCACTAAAGTTAAGACTTTTCATATAACGGTAAATTTTAGAAATGCTTGAAACGTCAATATTTTGAAATTTAAGGACGCTAGTTTACTCAAAATTGATACACCCCGGCTTACCATGTAGCGGTAGCTTTCGAAAAGGTGAAAAACATATATTTAATATTTGCGCCGGGTATTTAATGTTCGGCTCCGCCCGAACTTAGACTTTCTTACTTGTTTTGACATTGCTTTATCTTGGAAGTCATTCCACTCGCTGTGGTGGCACTTCTCAAGGTGGCGTTTGAGGCTGGTAGTTGTTTGCTGCTTTGGTGAGAAATGGTCCAGCGAGCATATCTTGCTACATATCTTACATTCTGCTGTTCTTAACTTTCTTGTAAAATAGTTTCATATACATAGCTCCATTCGACTCCATAATTTCTTGCAAATAAATATAATTAATTCATTCCACAACTCTGTTTAATATAATTTTCCTACCTTCGTTATGCTGCCGCCATTAATATTAATCTATTTTTGAGAGCAAAAAAAAAAGTTCTTTGTTGATTTGATTCTGCGATTTTCAAAATGAAAGTGAAACACAGGGTTACACATACAAATAGAAACATTAAAACTAAAACTTTGTAAAATTAAAAAAAAAAAAATTGGCAAGTGTTCGGCCAATGTTCGGTTTTTTTACCGAAGCCGAACCGAAACCGAACCGTACTTTTGTGGCCGAATATGGCCGAAGCCGAAGCCGAAGTTCGGTCGTTCTCTATTTATGATGAAGCAAACGGGCTTCGTTGATGTGCTGATGGGCATATGTATGTACTTACCCTGCAAAAAATGGTACTAATCCGGGATGACTCCGCGAGCAATCGCAAAGGAACATGCGACTAATACCACTTTTGATCTCTTTATATGGATTGAAGTGTTCGCTTTTGTTCGAGCATGTCCTATGAAGAGACTAATTGTTCACCTTTGTACCCAAAAGGGTATAAAAAGCGACTAGTCACTTTTAAAAAATAAAAATAAAAATTTGCGCCAGCTGAGACTCGAACCGGGTTTCTCAGTTTGGTTAGACGAATACTCTCTCTGTGTGCCAACGCCGCAGATGAAATTTCATTGACTAAGTGCGTACATATTATTAAATCGTTAATAGTACGCGTTAGAGATGAGTTGGGGACTAAATGATCTCCAATTATACCCATAAGGGATGAGTCGAGACTAATTGACCTCCATTATTACCCGTATGAGACTAGTTGCGACTAATTAATGCCCAATCGTACCCGTTTGAGAGTAATCTCGGAATACTCTCTTTAGAGATTAGTCGCACAATTTTTTGCAGGGTATGAACAGCATTGTTTTCATGTATGTACATATGTTTGAATGGTTGTATATATATTTGTATGTGTGTACATATTTTTGTGTATGTTTGTGTACATGTATATATGCACATATGTAGTTCAGACGAAAACCAATCTAATAAGCTGCTCGTTGATATAAATGCGAACTGTACTGATTGTCAAAAATTATGTGTTTGTTGTACATTTGTTCATGTTTGTCATTGCGCGTGTAATTTTCTAGAGTAGTTTTGTTCTCTCGCTAAGTCCTTGTATTAATTCGTCCTTCGTTGGTATACTCTGATGAACATATGTGAGAATGATAGCAAGGCCAACTTATATAAGGTAGTGTTACAGGAGCAGTTGAAATTTTCGACCGATGTTAGACGTAGCGACCGTTGGTTAAACTAGGTGTTGT